ATACAACTTCAGTAGAAGGTGCAGCCATATTGATTTTACAATACAAGTACATACATCTTTGTCCAATAGCATATACTTGGTTTTTCTCTGGTGCGACGGCTACGCCACCGTTGCATTTTCTTCCTTAACCCTTTCAAACGCAAGCCTGTTCCAGAATCCCATCATAAAGCCCCCCCCAAAAAAAAAATAAAAAAAAAAAAATTTAAAAAATAAATAAAAATTTAAAAAATCCAGTTTTGGGCTTGGCAGTTAATGCGCTAATGTCTTACTCTGAACATTCAGCCAAATATCACACCTTTAAAAAATTGTTTAATTGTGTATGGTAGGGCGTTGATATTCTGCAAAAATAAATTAAAGAAAGTTTAAAACAAACTAAAAATCTGAAGGAATGAAAAGGGTACAAGAATGCAATTCTAAAAGATTCGGTTTCCACAATATATTTTCTTGAAATTTTTCAGATGTCCATGTTCTCAATCTCAGCCTAGCCCAGAGATATCCAAGCGTTTAGGAAGAGTTGAACGGCATCTGCAGCTGTCGTAGGTCATATTGTAAGTAAAGAAGATTGGCTGTGTTACTATATTATGGTGCGGTCAAAAATTCATGGCGCAACCTAACCTCAAATATCTCTTAAACGGGAGAATCAATGCCACACATACTTTGCACAACAGTTTGTATCAATTTGTCTTAACCTAATCATATTTTTCCATTACAGTTGAGGCTGGATTTAAAAACTTTTCTTCAAGGATAATAAAAAAAAATACTACAAATCTTCTTCACGCAGAAAATGGAATTGTTCACAGCACTTCCCGCTTCTCACACACATTTTGATTACGCATATGGCCTACGTCACAGCCCATCAATGACAATTTTTAGTTGCAAAACTTGTTTCAAGAAATTATTTTTATAGCGAACACTTTTTTGCACTAATTGTCCTCAAAACATGCGTTCAATAAGCATAATGTCCCGATTAGAAAAACCCGACGGACTTGCAATTAAAGCAATAATGCCCCAGCTGTAAACATTTAAAAATCTGTAAAAACCACCCACTTATGTTTTTTAAATCAGTATTAGTGTTTTTTTAGGACACAGTGAGCAGGAGTTTGAAAAATCATTCACCTGTTAATGCAAATTGATGCAAGTCGCTGAGCAAAAGCTGGAGAGTTTATGTTCGATAGTTGATGAGATGTTTGACAATGAGTAGCTCCACAATTTTTTAAATCGCACTATAGAAAGTACCATTATACAGATGAAAAAAAGAGAGATAAGGACGACATTTTGACTGAAAATGAGCAAATCACACCAGGACTACCACCAACAACCCTGTTCTTTTTTTTCAGTTCAACTTTGAATCTGTCGTTCTTCTATACACAGTATACGTCATTTCAAATGCTGAATCCTAAATCCTCATACAAGAGAAATAAACAGGTTGACAGGAAACAGTCCATTTACTGTGTTGCTTTACTCTCCCAGCAACATAGTTTAGACAATTCCAGGAAAGGCTTCTTTCTCTTGTTGTTCATCAAGTCTTATCTTCTCTACTTACTAAGGTGGCGGATGCGTGGTTTCAGAGCTCCTCTTGGTGGTATTACATGGACTGCTTTTCTTTCCTTTCCTTTGCTTTTGTTGCTTATTGCTGTTTGTTTAACTTTCCAGTGGCCTTAAGGGGGGGGGGGGGGCTACACCTGGAGGCTATCTCGCTTATTACTGGACCGACTTTTACCATATTTCACATATATAACAAGCATAGTAAGGAGTCTTAAAATCCGCAATCAAATTTGAGAAAAAAGTTTCGTTTCCATGGATACGCCGCCATATTGGATTTTTATTGACATGTCTTACGTAATGAATACCGCACTTATCGCTGATGGAAATTATATATTTTTTTTTTTGCATGCGTGTTCACAAACATTAGATCTAAAAATTTGTCTGTTGTTTTTTTCGTAATCGAATTAGAACATTTTAAATGAATTTTTTCTTGAGGTAGCATTCAAGTTTGCGAAAAATCCGTGAAAATCCACACTCCAGACACCACCAACAAAAATCTATTCCATATATCAAAAATTCAACAAATTAATTTTTAGTATTACCTCTTCTCTTCATTCTGTGAAAATTTCATGAAGATTGGATGACAAATGGTGGAGTTATCCAAAAAAGTACAGAGAAAAGTCGCATTTTGAGAAAACGGCCGATAAAGAAAAATAAAATACTGACTTTATGAGGAAATGGCGGTTACAAACATGCCCGGTATGGGAAAAAATACGGTTTTTGGGGGTTCTTATGCCATGAAATAGTTGTAGGAGAGGCTGAGGAAGCTAAACATGCCTACAACTCAAATTCCATGATTTTGAGCCGAATTTTGATTTTGGGGGTGTAGCCCCCCCCCCCCTTAATAGAGTCAGTATGCGTCTATTTACTAAGGGGAATGCTATAGTGGATCTTTCTCATATGTAAAAATTGTAATACCCCTGAAAGAAAAAATATTGTTAAGTAAAATCGTGAAATATTCCACAGTCAGTTTTATCTCAAAATCTTTATTTTTGGTATTGCCTTCTGTTAAATATAACGAGCACTTGATAAAATAAATAGCATGTTCCTCATGTTCATTATCGAGTGTTCCACAGTGGCGGACGTTTCCGGTGTGTGAATACAAAACTGATTTTGAAAATTAAAAAATTGTAATTGTAGCATTTTTATGGCTATACTGACACTATTTAAATAATTTTGAACTCGAGGTGCTTTGACCCTGCTTGTCAGGGACAGCCTGAGCTGAAAGGGATACAACATCTCAGCAGAAAGACGTAGACACTAGATAAAATATGCCCCTCACACAGGATTAGAATTTAGATCTTTTGTGTGTGACGGCGAAGCATCTAAACCATTTTAAAGCCAGAAAATATAGTAAATTCAATTGCGTTTTGAAAAGTACTTGTTGCGTCAACACAATCAACGTGTATTATTTTTGTCATCAATGACGTTTTTTTTTCGGAAACAAACGTGTGAGAAACGTAAAACAGAGGGAAACAATTTTTAAACGATAATACAAAATACAACTGATGTTTTCAAGAAATGTGTTTATTCAAAAAAATAGAAAGTTTTCAACAGTTGTTGTTCGTCATACGACACTCATTTCAGGTATCGACAGTACAGCCCTACTCATCGGTTATAAATCTCACTGTACATTAAAGGCCTGCAGAGAAGAAGCCATGGAAACCTTGATGCGTGTATTTCCCGCCAACCAGCGTCTGTGGGTTAACAGCAGGAAGGCGATTCTCCGTTGCATGCAGGAGACTCGAGTTCGATTACCGAGTGGGTCGAATTTGTTTATAGAATATCTCCGTCCTTCTGCCGAGACGTTGAATTTCTCTCAACCCAAGTTGGCCCTAGCAGACAGGATTGAAGACTGCCTTCTAAATACAATGGCGGCGTAGCATCATCTGCATAAGAACAAACTGTTCTTGAGAACTACAGGCAGTGTCTCTGAGCCCGAGAACATAGAAAATGGTTCACACTATAGGGAAAGCACCCCAAACAATAACAATTAAAAAAAACTTCACCCCCCAACCCCCCCCCAAAAAAAAAACACAACCAAAAACAAAAATCAGCAACAAAATGAAAACCATAAACAAATCAAAAATAGACACTAGCGTGAGCAAGCAATAGACTATATGTCAGCACCATTCCCCACAATGAGTTGCGGTCCATGTGTGTCGATAAAACCGTCTGAAATTATACGAAAGCTTGTTTTTTATAGGGCAAAGCATTCTTTAGGTTCTCAGCCTAATGTTTCTCCATTGACATTATCTTTGAGAATCAAGAGATAAGAGAGGAAGGGAGCATTTCCGTGGTTTCTGTATTAACCGTTATTGTACATTCAGTACACCTAATTTGACATAATTTCGACCATATTACTATAATTATGTAAGGTAGGCTGCTTTCACCTTGTCTGTCAGAGACAACCAGCACCTGGTGAGATGCCAGTAGACAGACGAAGCTACTCACCTCACACAATAACTTAACCACACAAGAATCGAACTCACATGTTGTCTTCAGCGTACAATTGTATGGAGCCTAATCGCTACACCACGGACATCGGTTGGGGTCAGCTGTTTTAGCAATAAGATGATGTTCTATTTATGACCATAACAACTTGTTTTTTTTCCTACTGCCGATTGTATTTTGCGTTTCAATAGGTATTACACCCCCCCCCCTCAAGAAAACAACCCCAACACCCCCCAAACAAAACAAAAACAAAAACAAATAAAAATTGCCTTCTCCATTCGCTTTTGAGGATATCCTTCCTTGCTGAAAAAAAATGAGCAGACTTACTGGGCTGGTATCAGACGTTAGTAATCTAAATTTCATTCTAAATACTAACGTGCTGTTTTGTTGCAACATAACACATTAAGATAATTTTTGTACAGAAATGTTCATTAGGATATCATATTTTGTGCGAAGCAATAACGTATTACCATGGTTTCCGTCCAATGATAAATGTACATTTAATAAGATCTTCACATAATGCTGCAACGCTTGCATGACGATCCAATGAGGACAGGAGAACAACGTTTTCTCCTCCTGAGAGGTATGACCCCAGCATTGTTTTCACGGAACAAGTCAAACGTAACACTCCAGCGTTGTTTTCATTGAACAAAAGAAACGTCTTTCAACGATGCGCAGGAATACCAAAACGCAGTCATTGAACAAAGATTGCAGCTTGCCGTCACATGGAAGTAGGAATCAAATCACATGACTGGAGATCCCAAGAACTATTTGGACTGATTTACGTACCACCATGTTGATGGTTCGTACAAACAAAGTACAAACACAAAGAAAACGTCTTCACTTCTTGCGGGACTCCCAACACTGTGGACACTGAATCGTAATACATAATTCAATATCGCAGTCAACGAAAACGCCCTCATCTGATTTATACAATTTACTACAGGGGACGGCTATACCGATTGGCTGGGTGTTTTAAGAGACTGTGATCTCTTTTTTTCTCTTAAATTTGTTGAGGTACACAATTAATTGTCGTTCCCGTGTCATACGTTTGAGGCCATACGGCAAGTTTTGGAGGCCCCGAAGTGATTCCCTCTCTGCGTCATGGTTATCCTAGGAATGCCGCCCGACGCTAGTTCTGCATCAATCTCATCGTCGGAAGAGTTTCTCCTGCACTGACCGTTGATTTTGGCGCGAAAGCCGCAGATCAGAGATCGAGTCCGGCGCCGGAAAGACGGGGAGAAGGCGAGGTAGACGTAGAATTTCACGGCTAAGTTCAGTCTGTCTATGTAGAGGAATACAGGCAGGAGGTGCCTGAATATCATTGGCACTTGCTCCGGGGGTTTCATATTCCCGTAGACTTGGAAAAACCCGGTGGGCGATTTTAGAATCAGCATGACGAACACCACAGGAAAGATGACGTTGGTCACACGATAGGGCGAGCGGTTGGACGAGTTCCGGGTGCTGCCCTGTCTGCCCGGCACTTCCGCCGCAGACGATATCCGGTAGTACTCGTAGCCACGCCCATATATGAGGGCCACCAGAACGATGAGCGCAGCAGTAGGGAGGAGATTGACGAACACAGAGTTGAGTTTCATCAAGATGTTGTAGTCTTTATGGAAGTGTTCAAACGGCATGCATAAAGAGGTCCGCAGTGTCTCCTGTACGCCCACCATGTAGATGACGTAATAGAAGCAGACGCCTGTAATCACAGCCATACCTGGGAGGTGCAGATAAAAATATATACAACACGATGACGTCATAGGAGAAATAGTTATAGCTGAAATTTGGAAACGTATATATTTTCCAGTAGAACGAGATACGAGGATATGAAATAATATGAAATAAAGCAGGATCCAATAAGATAATATAACGTGGCATTAAATAAGGTCGATAACATTAGATGAGATATGCTATTACAGATCAACATGATATTAGATCTATGTCTAGGATAATTATTTCTAAATAAGTTTCATTTACCAACAGCGGGAATACGAATACAAACCATAAAACAAACATGATTAGCCAAATATTATTCCTCTTTATCCCTCCTTTTTCTGTCCCCCCTCTCTCTATCCCTCTCGCCACCACCCTCTCTATCTCTCTCTTTATATATATACATACATATATATATATATATATATCCACACTGAATAAAATCTGTTTTCATCCAGCTACTTATCTTCAAATGTTTTTCCAAAAATATGCACCAGATATAGTGATAGATAGATAGATAGATAGATAGATAGATAGATAGATAGATAGATAGATAGATCGATACGTCATTTCAAATGCTGAAGTCATATCCCTTAACAAAACAAAACGGTGGGAGGGGAACCCTTTTATTGTAATAATGTAAGTGTTTTATGCCCCCATCAATATAATCTAGACGATTCCAGGAACGGCAAGCGTGGATATAGACAGATACAAATCGATAGAAGAGGGAGGGGGAAGAACAGAAAGAGACTGAGAGAACGAGAGAGAGAGAAAGAGGGAGAGAGAGAGAGAGAGAGAGAGAGAGAGAGAGAGAGAGAGAGAGAGAGAGAAAAGACGAGAGAGAGAGGAGGAGAGAGAGAGAGAAGGAGAGAGAGAGAAAGGGGGGGGGGCAGGAGAGATAAAGAGAGAGCAATAAAGAGAAAGAGAGAGAGGGAGAGAGAATGAGAGAGCGAGAGAATGAGAGAGAGAGATAGAGAGAGGGGAAATGAACACAGAGAGATTGATTGATAGATAGATAGATAGATATATAGATAGATATATCGATAGATAGATAGATATATCGATAGATAGAAAGATAGATAGATAGATAGATAGATAGATAGATAGATAGATAGATAGATAGATAGATAGATAGATAGATAGATAGATAGATAGAGAGAGAGAAAGAGAGAGAAAGGGAGAGATAAAGAGAGAGAAAGAGAGAGAGAGAGAGAGAGAGAGAGAGAGAGAGAGAGGGGGGGGGGGAGAGAGAGAGAGAGAGAGAGAGAGAGAGGTAAATAAGTACTAATCAAACAAACGACCAGTAGACTCACTTATAATGACGACCTTTGCTCGGAAGGGTGTGCACAGCCCTGCCTTCCTGAGTGGGCAGTAGACGCTGATGAACTTCTCCACACACAGGGCCACGGGGTACCACACACACAGGAACAGGAAGGCAAAGTGCAGGAACGTCACGTACTGGCACACGCCCATCTGCCGATACAAGATGTTGATAGTGATGATGATGATGATGATGATGATGATGATGATGATGATGATGATGATGATGCCGATGAAAATAATAATAATAATAATAATAATAATAATAATAATAATAATAATAATAATAATAAAAATAATAATGATGATGATAATAATGATAATAACTATTTAAAAAATAGTAATAATAATTATAATAACATCAGGTGCCAAATGTTCCACAGTAATAAAACGGAGAATTGCAATGGCTAGGGCTAGTTTCAATCAAATGAAACCAATAGTAAAATTAGGAACATCTCAATGACTACCAAAGTGAAAGTTCTGAAATGCTATGTACGGTCAACCTTCTACATGGCTGTGAATGCTGAACAATCACTAAAGACAGTGAAAATAAAATAAAAGCAACAGAACTATGGTTTCTTAGGAGACTGCTGAGAATATCGTGGAAGGAAAATAAATCAAATGAGGTTGTGCTTAATGAAGCCCACGTGGGACCCTCACTATTAAAAACAACCAGGAACAGCTCGGGTACATGATTGATACCTTTGGCTGAGATGATACGCTGATTAACCAAACAATTTTTTTCCTCTATACAGTTTCTAAACGTGTCCTTGGTGTGCACAAGCTGAGATTTGAGTGTAAAACACTACGTCACGTATCTTATAGATCTACCTATAATTTTGCAATAACGGGGGGGGTTGTCATTGGTAGTCATGTTGGTTATTATCCCTAAATGCGCGCATGACTTCACATGAAATCTTTTCCACACGAAGATGGATAAAAGGCTATTCTATTACCTGATCTTGCTGGGGGACTGACAATAGGTTTAAACAAACAATAAAACAACAAGAAAGTGGTTGAACAAAACAAAAAACAGCTTTTTAAAATCCCAAAAAGAAAAACCAGAATAAAGCAAAAAAAATTTAAAAAATCAACAACAAAAACCCCCCCATAAAAAACAACCCGAACAAAACCCCCCCAAACAAAACAGAAAAAAGCCAAGAAAATCTCGGACTCACAACCGTAAGGTCGTGGGTTCAAATCCCGTCAAGGGCCTGACGTTGTGTCCTTGGGAAAGGCACTTTACACGAATTTTCCTCACTTCACCCAGGTGGGAATGGGTACCCAGCTATAGACAGCGAAAGATCTTGTCAGTTTGTTAGTGTTTGAGCGCTTATTCAGCTGCTTGCACTGTATGCTTCCCGGGAAGCTGAGAATGTTTCGGAGTGTTCTATGGTCTGCTGTGGTAATAATATAGTGTAAAGCGCATAGAGCCTGCTGTTGAGCAGGGATATGCGCTATACAAATGCTATCTATTATTATTATTATTATTATTATTATTATTATTATTATTATTATTATTATTATTATTATTATTATTATTACCATTCCGATGAGATTGACACCATGCGCCAACAGACCCGTCTGTATAAAATCCGTGACCAGAGCCCCACTGTCCACTACAGCCATGGCAGCCAGATACGGGACGGACGGGACCTTCCTGAGGCGTGTGCGAGTGACCACAAGGTAGGCCAGAATGTTGGACAACAGTCCCAGGACCAGGATAATGGGGCATGTGTAGATGGTCAGTAGACGCATGGTCCGGTGTAGGCTGGCGTAGGAGGAGAACGGCCGCCGTGTATTGTAGCCCGGGATCTGTGCGCGCAATCAATCAATCAATCAATCAATAAATCAATCAATCAATCAATCAATCAATTGATCAATTTATCAATCAATAAGCCAATCAACAAAAGTGCAATCAAACGAGCAAACAAGTAAACAAATAAGCACGCATGCACACAAACAAACAAGCAAGTAAGAAGTCATCACAGAATCGAGTAGCTTAGCGAACAGGCTTCAACTTATCATTCAGCTTACTAATCAATCAAATATAATCAATAAATAAATGATAAAGTCAATCTAACAATGATTCCATTTTGTTAAAAGACTACAGTGGGGACGTTACTTTATAGAATATCTACGACTGCTTGCTGAGATACTGTATTCCGTTTGCCCTGGTTGATCCTGGCAGGAAGGATCTATTGAGGAAGCCCGCTTGCTAAACAAGTTACGGTGAGCCAAAGCAGGCGTGCAACATTTTTGAAAATCAATCTAAAGAAAGGCTTTCTGAATTATTAGCAGTAGTCTGATGCCTTGTCGATGGACAATGGTATAATTACTTAAAACCATTTTAATCTCCTACGGTTCAACTGGCCAGCGGGGAGGGAGACTGATGTATCTGCCAATGTTATAGCAATGAATTATGTATTCCAACAATGGCTGGATTGTACAGTTTTCAATAACTCTGTGTACTGAGTGATTAGAAATACACGATTGCCCAAACGATCACAATAAAAAAAAAATCCAATAAAGAAAAAACAAAACAAAACCCCAGAGAAAAAGAGCCTCCCCCCATCCACAAAAGCAAAAACATTTACAAAAAGAGCAGCAGTAGCAACAGAAATAACTGAAACGGTAATAACAATGAGCACAGGAATGATTACTGTAATTCAAATACCAGAAGAAGAAGAAGAAGAAGAAGAAGAAGAAGAAGAAGAAGAAGAAGAAGAAGAGCAACAACAACAACAACAACAACAACAACAACAACAATATTACAGAAACAACACCACAACCAAAACAACCCTCACACCACCACTATGAACAACAAAAACATCAACAACAACACCACCACCACCAACAACAACAACAGAAACAACAACAAGAACAAAGAACAACTGCCATAATAAAAAGCAACAACAAAGAACCACCACCACCACCACCACCAAGAACTACAACAACAACAACTGCCCGCGCATTACACTCACCATCCGCCTCGTCCCGTTTATAAACAAGATATCTGTAGAGTTCCCGTCCACTCCCACGTCGCCATGGTGACCGATGATAGAACCTGTTACATTCCCCAGGGAGGTGATGTCGAAATACAATGATGAGTTGAAATCCACCCCATCCAAGGGAAAGGCAGATTTCTCTCCTTCAGGGTACACGAGTGACGTCACAGTCGACATGGCAGTGTCCCAGTGACGTCGATAAAGTGTGTCACGAGACAAAGGGACGTAATGCAATGTGAACTTTAACGGGGAGTCACAATTTCACAAGTTGTCTCTCTTCGTTAGCGTTGCGATGAGCTCCATTTCCTGAGGTAATTTGTTGCACTGATTTCTCCCAGAAATGGCATGTAGAAATATTAAATAGCTATCAAGTGTTTCATTCTTGTTCAATTCACAAATAATTTTCCGAAGGTTTCAGCCGTATTCATTGGTGCAGTTGGCTATGGAATTCTTCAAACTGGGTCATCTGTGGCACTGTCTCATCTGAAAAAAAAATTATTAAAGAAAATATAATTACGTACTGTGAGAAATATATATTAACACTCACATGTTTTATTTGTGTCATACTTCTAAAACTATTTATAGGATATGTTTCAATACTCATTTATTGTTCCTGTCTATATTCCTGTATTCATGTACCTTTACATTGGTATACTATTTCATTATTTGTTTTTGTTGTTGTTTTGTTTTTTATTTGGTAAGTATTTTACAGTGCTCCCAACTGTATAAGGTCGTAATATGAGCCTGCGGATACATATTTGCGTCATTTTATATGCTATTATTTTGGGCGTAAACTTTAATGCTCCATGTATTTTTAAGCCAAAAAAGTACTGACGCCTTCTACGTACGGTGGGAAAAAATCCCCAACAGCCTCACCACAGACGTCGACATCGAAGCCTGCAGCGAGAATTATAGTCCTGCTGGAAAATTGGTTTAACTCTTCCAGTGCGAAGCTAGGACAGCTAGGTGCCTCACTTTACGCTTATTGAGTATGCACTGATTTTTTTGTAGCAGAAGAGTTAATAGAAACGCGATGGAGGAGAAAATGAGATCGTCAATAAACGATTATTACCGCTCCTGAAAAGTAGCAATTGGTTTGTATTAGACGCGATGGTACAGTCCCCCTGCTTCTGGTGTGTGTGTGTGTGTGTGTGTGTGTGTGTGTGTGTGTG